TATCCTCTATGCCTCCCTTTGCTAGTACAAGAATCTCTGCTTTTTATCTGGGCACAACACCACTCAAAATACATAAATGCCCCAATCTCTTTGCACTTGTTTGCCAGTGAGATACAGGCAGAGCGAGTTTGTCTTTCCCACCCTCAATTCTGCTGCTTAGAACTTGGATGAAAAGGAAGCTCACAGTATATGGATGAGAAGGCAGGGCGCTGACAGGAAGCAGTAATCACATTTCCAATTCAGGAAACCCTCTCGGCAGAATGGCTTAGAAGCCAGCATCTAAGGGCTCCTCCCACTCAGGCAGAAGACGGCTCTGGCACAGCTGGTGCGTTGTCTGGGATTTCTCTCACCCGCTCCTAAGCAGCAGGTACTCCAGGGCTGGCAACCATGCTGTTGCAGCAGGATTTGCAAGGACAACAGAGGTAATATTCACACCACTCAAGGGAGTGCATACACTGCTACGCAGTCACAGCAGCATGACATTTCTGCACATGCTTGTGAAGGCGCAGAAACGCCATGGACCTGAGCGCGTTGCTGAGGTTGGGGTCTGTTCTTTCCTATGCGAGATCCAGGACGGTCTTTGTTTTGGTCAGTGGCAATGACCCCAGAGCTCATTCCACCAATGCTATCTGTGGAGTCGAGGGGGTCTCATGCTTGATCCTTGCTTTATCCAATTAATGTCAAACTCACACCGTGTCACACAGGTCGGGGAGATTAGTTTTTTCCCCAAGCTTTCAAACAGAAATCTGGCTAGAACAGAACAAGAAACCAGTCTTTTCAGAAGCGCCTATCTGAAGGTCTTTTTGCTTTCTCTTGGAGCATAAATCAACGTAATTTATGAGTTTTTGTTAAAGGTTATGTGGGGGGAAAATCAGCTAAGTGCCACTTATCAACGGAATAGGCCTAAGAAAAATGCAGTTTGTCCTTGTCCCTAACTGGCCAAGTACAAGGTGGTTTTAAGCTGAGGCCACAGCGAATTATGGGCACAACAATTGAGGTTGTTTCCCTCAAGCATCAACAAAAACAGACAAGGTTTCAACAGGGTGGAAAAAAAGTGGAAGGAAACTTTTTCCACACAGAATTCGAAACCCAAAGGAGAAAAGGAATATGTGTGTTGGGGGTCAGGGAAAGAGGTAGAAATCAGTAGGAAGGTTTCAAAGACTTAAGACGAAAGAATCCACCATTAACCAACATATGAGAGTGTTAAATCCCCTGGTCTGGTCATGTAGAGGAGTTAGAGAAATGAATGAATGGTGCTGAAGGAAACACGATGACAGTTTTAGCCACTGATGACACACTGAAACAGTACTGCGCTCCGTGTATTCACTGCAGGTGCCACACACGTGCTCCAAGGCTGCACAGCTGTCCGACTTCTTCCCTGCTGGCAAGCTGCGGAGCACCACACACTGAGTCTGTATTCTGAAAATGGCCGTGCCTCTGATTAAGGCACAACGGACACGCAGCTGGAAACTGAAGCTGCACTGTAAAGCATCGTCCCCTCCTTTCATGCTGTTTATGCAGTTCTTTCTACCTGAAATGTCCTTTAAATTTCTGCCTTCACCCATAAACATGCAGTCCTCCAGCTCCAGCTCAATTCAGTAGTGCTTGCACAGCTTGCTGAGCTCTGATAACTTCGGAATCTCCCCACTTGTTTCTGCTCAGTTAGGTCATTTCTTCTGGAGAAACTTTCGACAACTGGATTTCCTGTTACCATCAGATGCCTCGGCCCGCACCCCCAGGACAGCTGCAAGTGAGCCTGAGAGCCAGCGCACACACAACGGCAGAACTTACTCACCTCGCGGTTTAAAAACACCCAGCAATAATAGCAGATAAAAAAGTGACCTTCTACCTAGTTGAAACTTTCCCTCACAAATACAGCATAAAGGGGTTTGTGTTCTTGCTGCAAAGAGAGGGGAGGGGTGATAATAAGATCAACCGGAAAAGGATCAGGAAAGGAATGGGACCTTATCCTGGGTGCTCCATCTACAGGAGGGGCAGGAAGGCGGGTCACGGGAACAAACTGATTTCATCATTGAATTCTCTAACTGCTGCAAGAACAGGCTGCTGAAAACACTACATGTACTTCCACATTCAATAATTTTCTTTCTAAGTCAATATTATACATTATCACTCAGAGGAGTGAAACTTGCCTTGTAACAAAGACTTTATACAGTGATACAATGCAGCAATAAAATAATCAAACAAAGCATTCTCCAAAAATGACCTTGTTCACCAGAGTTTTGTAGCGCTATTCAAGCAGGCTCTCAGATCCAGGGGAAAAAACAGATAAAATGTAATATCCTATTAACAAAGGAGTCTGCACTCATATTTTAAAATATATAAACACATCTTTTGGATCTCACTTAATATAGAAATATACTAAATGATTACAATGCAAACATCACAAATACAGGGGGATGTGGAAGGACCTCTTTATGATAAAGTAATGGAATTTTTGTGATAAAATTGTCAGCAAATGGGCCTGGCGCAATAGACTACTGGCTAAAGTCCTCGACTTGGATGTGCCAGGATCCCAGATGGGCACTGGTTCATGTCCCAGCAGCTCCACTGCCCATCTAACTCCCTGCTTGTGGCCTGGGAAAGCAGTCGAGGACGGCTCAAAGCCTTGGGCCCCTGCACCCACGTGGGAGACCAGGAAGGAGCTCCTGGTTCTTGTCTTTAGATCAGCTCAGCTCTAGCCATTCTGGCCACTTGTGAAGTGAACCAGCAGACAGAAGATCTTTCCCTCTATCTTTTCTTCTCTGTAAAATCTGACTTCCCAATAAAAGAAAATACATCTTTTTAAAAAATCATCAGCAAATTATCCTTGAACTCAAAAAGTACAGTATTTCCAAATAAGATGAAAGTGAAAAATGATACCAACCCAGGCCTTGAAAGATAACTCAAAAACCAGCTGATCGTAAATAAGGGCACTGATATCAAAGTGGATGTAAGAGTATTACGAACTATTGCTTCAAAAAACTCACACCACTAAATTATTCTATATACTGCACTTAGACATGGAACAACATAAAACAGCTATTTCATATAACTCACTAGATGGTTACAGAATCCAGCTAACCAATAAAGAAGTAATCTCATTGCGAAAAACAAGAGGATGCCTTGGAGCTGAAGTCAACTCACATCCAGGCACACGCAGTACTGAGTATTTTTTCAATAAAGATGACTTATTTCAAAGTCATGTGTTACTGAGGAAGGGGGGATAGGAAGGGAGGTTGGGGAGAGTGCTGGGGTCCATGTGATGGGTGTGGAAGACAGGAAGGTGTGAAGACAACTGTTCCACTGCAGGCAGGCCGCAAGTGATTTCCCGCTGTGTGGCAGGGCCCGGCAGAGGTCTCTACAACCACCTGAATGCAGCTCCACCTCCCCCTGCATGGACACCAGACCACCCCACCGAGATTTCTGTGATTTATTTAGGCATTAATGTTTAGTGCCAATGTGAGCTTGGAAGTTGATGTTGTTGATACGGTTTTAGCCAAAAGGCCTTTCATTATTGCTGTCTCGGCTGCCCCCATTGACCATGTGCTAATCAAGGGTGTTCCGTCCTTCTGTGGGTCCTTCCTTCTGTGATGCCTTTCCTCCCTTAGCTGATTCAAGACTAAGCTGTAGAATGAGGATTGTGGTAGGAATGTGTTACTGATGGATATGCACCATCTATTGAGAACTTCCTAACCACGGCGCCAGGATGGATAACATCCTGGTGAAACAAATGGCAAAATTGCCCTTGGAAACACCCACTTGACCATGACGTAAAGTCTGAGCCAGAGTTTGACTGTTTCTGTATAAATAAAGCAGACAGCTTTCCAGCATTGTTCACAATGATCATGGAATCCTAGAGGTCCGTCTAGTTTCTTTACACCTCATCCACGCACCCCTCTCGAGTTCTGAGCTCAGCCGGAGCTGGACTCCGGCAGGAGAGAAAGAGGGAAATCTTCCAAATGCTGGTTCAATCCCCAAGCAGCCTTGACAGCGAGGCCTGAACCAGGCCAAAACCATTTGCTGGGAGTTCCATCAGGGTCTCCATGCGGGTGGCAGAGCCTGAAGCGCTTCACCATCTTCCGGTGCCTTTCCCAGGCCATTAGATGAGCATGGAGCAGGATCGGAAGTGGAGCAGCCAGGGTGTGAACTGGCATCCATATGGGATCCCTGTGCTGCAGGCACTGGCTTTACCCACTATGCCACACTGCTGGCCCTCTAGAATTTTCTGAATGGACTGCCGAATTCTGATTTCTAGAACTGCTAACCTCCCCCCGTGTTGCTGGAGGAGTTATTTCCACACCCTTGACGGGAATCTACCTCTACATTCATATTCAACACTTCCTGGAGGCCTGCTTTTTACCACGAGCCACGACAGATACTTTCACAAAGTACCTACAGACATTCCATTCCACTACATCAGCCATGAATAAGACTCACTACAACCAGAGCCTGCTGATAAGCACCTCAACACGACAGTGCTGCTTGGAGCAAGACGCCACCTGGTTACTACACTGGACACCAAGGCAGATCTGATGCTCCTCCCTCACAGCAACAGGAAAGAAACAAAAAAAAATTTTTTTATTTAAGATTTCGTTTATTTTTACTGGAAAGTCAGATATACAGAGAGGAGGAGAGACAGAGGGAAAGATTTTCCGTCCGCTGATTCACTCCCCAAGTGGCTGCCACAAATGGAGCTGAGTCAATCTGAATGAAGCCAGGAGCCCTTTCTGGGTCTCCCACGTAGGTACAGGGTCCCAAGGCTTTGGGCCCGTCCTCCACTGCTTTTCCAGGACACAAGCAGGGAGCTGGGTACGAAGTGGAGCAGCCTGGACACAAACTGGTGCCCATAAGGGATCCCAGCACATGTAAAGCAAGGACTTTAGTCACTAGGCTACCACACCAGACCCAAGAATAACTCTTCAAACAATTAAACCAGTGACACTGGCACAGAGCAGAACTATTAACTAAACTTCTACACTTCTGGAAAGCACTTAACTTACCTGTGCTTCTGCTATCAGCTGCCTCTTCTTTGCTATCACCTGCTTCATGTCAATTTGACCTAATTGAAAGAAAAACAAACATGACTTTTAAGTTCATGGACATAGTTACTAACAATATCATTTAAATTATAGAGGTAAAAAGAGCAAACACACACAAAAATAACCACAGTTCAACCACTAAACACGACACAGCACTTGAAAACAAAAGACGGGCAACACAAGCAGCAGGAAATTCATAAAAAAAAAAAAAAAAGAACCAAGTAGAGAAGTTACTAAAAGTACACGTAGTAATTCTAACCATGTGTACCATGTAGACCAATCCTGAAAAATCAGGAAATTAGGCTCCCTGAATGCATTCTGCAATCGAACTGAGATACTAGCTAAAACGCTAAAAAGAGAACTGCTTTTAGACTGTCAAGATGGTACAAACTGGGGTGGTTGTTTAGCCTAGTGGTTAAGACACAACCCAAACTGGAGTACTTGGGCTCAATTCCTGACTCCAGCTTCATGCTAAGGCAGAACCAGCAGGGAGTGGAGACGGGTTAAATAACCGGGTTCCTGCCACCAAGTGGGAGATGGACAGCACTCCCAGGTTCAGCCCGGCCCCAACCCAGCTGAAGTCACTGCAGAGGGCTTGGGAGGGAAACAAGAGAATGGACCTTCTGTCCATTTGTCTAGGTCTTTTTGCTTTTCAAATAAACAAGCTAATTTACAAACTACACAAATTCACAAAGTAAGGGGAAGGACTAATGCAGCTAGAAGCCTAGAGGATATACGAGAAATGTGAGGGCTTCCGCCAGACCTGAGAAACCCTGAGCTCCCTGGCAGTGGCCCAGGAGGCAGTGTGTTTTACAGCACAGCACGCAGGCCACAGTACTTTACAGGACAGTCAAGTCCACCTTGTCCCCCAACAAGGAGTACAGATGAAGACCCAGAAAGCTCAAACTCAGTGCACACAGACAGAAATCACAGCAGGAGAGAACAGGAAGGAACAGTGCGTCTCTAAAGGACACTGCTCGCAGAGGGTGGAAACACTGCTCCCCAAGAACTCCTAGGCACCGCCACAGACCCAGCCATGTAATGGGAGTCTGAAACGTCTCAAGAGGTAAACTTACCCTGAAGCAAAACCAAGTGAGGTCTTCAGGTTAGTGGCAGATACAAACATAATTCCTCTCTGGAAGATGACAACATCACCAAGGCCTTAACGATTTCTAACAGATAAAGTTTCAACATCAGGGAGGAACTCATGGTCAAAACTCACATGACACATGAGGAAACTAGGAAGCATGCGTGGGAGACAACAGAAACAAGAGCCAAGGGAGGCCCAGCATGACACCCAGGCTCTGGCGGAAGAAGCGTCCGGGTAGCCACCCTTTCCTCGCCTCCTGCAACCAAGGAGAGCTCTGGGGCAGGACTGTGGTCTCCCTGGTGAGCAGGCAGCTGGGTAACAGGGTTAGCGACAGGCAATCTCTGTTTAGCTTTGTCTTGATTTGGTTTTTAATACTGTTGACACAGTTGAGAGGGATGCAGAAGCATGTGGGTCTCCAGTCAGGGTGGGGACAGTGGAGGCCTGAAGGAGGGTGGACGGATGTCTCAGTTGCTTTTTCCTTTTTATGACATAGTTTCATAGGCTCTGGGATTCCCCCAGCCTTTTTTGCTTTTTTTCTGTGTCCCAGAATGGGAAGGCAAAGATGCTGCTCCTTGCTGTCAATCTATACCAGCACCCACGGATGGGGGACAGTCATTCGCTGACACATCAGAGACCCTGATGTGGGAAAGAATATTCCGAGAGTGTTAATCAGCGGTTTTAACACTTCGGAAACACTGCCGACTATATCAGCACTGTGAAAATCTTCCCAAAGTCTACTGGCTGAACATGCCGACCTTAGTGCACCAACACACCCAGACCCTTCCTGCAAAGGGTGGCCAGGAGAGCTGTCCACTCTGTTCTGCTTTTCAAACTCTGACAAGGTCCTCGACTCCCGCTGCTGACCTAGATGAGCTGGCCTTCCTGTGCCCCACGTGCATCTGGGCATGCTGTCCACTGCACAGGCATGAGCAACTGAGGAGGCGCAGTCCTGATACGTGTGCTCCAAGGCTGGGCCACATACTCTGTGATTTTCCCTGTGGGTTTTGAGCCCAGTGATCCAGTTGAGGAGTCACTCAAGAAACCCTGCCTCGGGAAGGCCTCAGACTTAATCATTGTGTGCGTCAGCCAGTGCAGGGTCAGGTTTGGCCCATCAGTCATACTCCAGCCATCACATTTACCAGTGGATGCAGTTGCCTGGTCAGTCTTTTCCCCAGCCCCATCTATCACAAGGACCAGTGTGTGCCTGCTGCCAGACCTAACCAGACTTGTCCGCCTCCAGGAGGAGCTGCAGCTTAGCAGGGGAGTACCCACAGCTGCCCCACCACGCCAGTTCCCAGCCCAGGATCTTGAGCCTGCAAGGTGATACTTCAGTCCAGCCTGATGTGACTTGCACTTAGTCCTAGCATTTGCCAGCCAGTACCACGCCCAGCCTGGGCAGCCTGCACCCACTCTGCTTGTTGCACAGGTGTGGCAGCCTAGCACAGCATGGCCCACCCACTAACAAACCCTCATGCTCTCCAATCCAAAAATCCAAAATCCAAAACACTCTAAAATCTGAAAATTCATGAATGATGCCACACATAAAAATGTCATACCTGATTTCATGACAAGTCACAGTCAAAATGCAAAACATTAATTACATAAAATTACCTTTAGGCTGTGTGTATGAACTAAACATAACCGAGTATCATGCTTGGACGTGGGTCTCCATGCAACGTATTATGTATAAGTAAACGCCACCAAATCAAAAATAAACATCCAAAGCAGCTCCAGTGTCATGCACTTTGGGCATTTGCCAATAGCCACATGAAAGATGCTCCATAGCACTGGCCGCAAAAGAGGAAAACCAAGAGTTCCTGGCTCAATTATGTCCACTGCGGTCACTTGGGGAGTAAGCCAGCAGACACAAGATCTGTCTTTCCTTCTCTCTGAATATCTGCATTTCACATTACACAAACAACCAAAAAAGGGGGTCTAGCATGGAAGCCTAGTGGCTAAGTCCTCACCTTGAATGAGCCAGGATCCCATTTAGGCACCAAATCATGTCCCATCGGCCCCACTTCCCATCCAGCTCCTTGCCTGTGGCCTGGGAAAGCAGTGAATGACCACCCAAAGCCGTGGGACTCTGCACTGGCATGGAAGACCCACAAGAGGCTCCAGGCTCCTGGCTTCAGATCAGTTCAGCTCCAGCCATCACAGCTGTTTCAGGAGTGAACCAGCGGATGGGAAGATCTTTCTGTCTCTCCTTCTCTAGGTAAATCTGACTTTGCAACAAAAAAAAATTTTTCAAAAAAAATGAATAAATCTTTAAAAGAAAAAAAAAAGGAAAATCCAACGCACAATAAGACATTTATTCATACTCAATAGGCTGGCTATAACCAAAACAAACGAGTAACAACAAGTGTTGGCTAGCATGTGGAGAAATTAAAACCATCCCACACTGGTGGAAGGAAGGGAGTCTGGAAATTCCTTGAAACATTAAACACAGAAGCTACCACATGATCCAGCAATTCCCTTCCTAGAACTGTATACAAGAGAAACAGGAACGTCCAGCCAAACGCTTGTATTACAGTAACAAACAAGGCAAACCCCATCAACTGACAACAAAATGACGGGACAAAAACCAAAAGAAAGAAACAGCGACTCACACAATAGAACATGCATGAAATTGGGAATAACTATGCGAAGTGAAAAGCACAGGACACTACAGAGTGTAGAATTCCACGGACACAGAGTGGCACAGAGAGAAACGAGAAAAAGAGATCTTCCTATTTGAAGATCTGTTACCCCAAATGCCTGCCGACAGTCAGAGCTGGGCCAGGCCGGGCCATGAATGTGCGATTCAATTAGGGCGTCCCGGTGGGCTGCGAGGCCTTCAGCACCAGGGCTGTCACCTGTGGCTTCAGCACCAGGGCTGTCACCTGTGGCCTTCAGCACCAGCGCTGTCACCTGTGGCTTCAGCACCAGGGCTGTCACCTGTGGCCTTCAGCGCCAGGGCTGTCACCTGTGGCCTTCAGTGCCAGGGCTGTCACCTGTGGTCTGCGAGTGCCTTCCACGTGCTTACAGCAGACAGCCAGTGTCACTGAACCTTTCTAAATGAAGCTTCTTTCCGATACTTTTAAGGGAAAAAAAAAAGTAATACCTCTGTGTCACGCAATTCCCCTTTGGTACAATCTAAGTAGATTTTTTTTTATCTTGCGGAGAGCTTTGTGGCCCTGTTTTTTCTGGGGATTGGCGTCTTTCATTGAAACTTTAACTGTTGTCTTAGCTGTGTCAGACGCACTGGGGACCTTCCATTTCTCCATGCCTTTTTTCCAAATTACATATTATGAAAAACTGCTTAAAAAGAGTAAAGTTCTATAGATACAAAATAGGGTGATAAAAATAAAATGTGATGCATGAGCAAGATCCTCAGAGCATGCCCTACATTCGGGACCTGGGGAGGGTGGGAAATTGGATGGGCCTTCTCCCTTAATACCCCCTTTAAACATGAAAGAAACAATACGGAAAAAAATACTAGTCTTACCCACTTTCCTGTAGCCCTTGAACCTTTTTACCCTAATTACCTATGTAAAGATTGTCAAAATTCTAAAAAAATGTGATGACATCTTCTCAGCACAAATATATTAAGTGAAAGCAAAAATTACGGGCCCGGCGCGATGGCGCAGTAGTTAAGGTCCTCACCTTGCACGCCCGGGATCCCATATGGGTGCCGGTTCTAATCCCGGCAGCCCTGCTTCCCATCCAGCTCCCTGCCTGTGGCCTGGGAAAGCAGTTGAGGATGGCCCAAAGCTTTGGGACCCTGCACTCGCGTGGGAGACCCGGAAGAGGCTCCTGGCTTCAGATTGGCATAGCATCGGCCATTGTGCTCACTTGGGGAGTAAATCATCAGACAGAAGATCTTCCTCTCTGTCTCTCCTCTCTGTATATCTGTATTTCCAATAAAAATAAAATAAATCTTAAAAAAAAGAAAGTAAAAATTACAAGAATATATATGAGTCCATTTTTTAAAAAATCGGCTTATTAGCCAAGGTGAAGTGGGCAAATTACATGTGTCAAAATACTATTTAGCTGATCCCGGATTGATCCATTAGCTAGAAGCTCTCAGATAAAACAAGAAATATGTTATTGGAAACGTGAGAAAAAAATTCTCCTTGTTATAAAGTGGCAAAGAATGTGGCTGAGTTGTGTTTGTGTCTGCTTTGTGGAAGTAAGAAATTGCAAGCAAAAAACTGGATATAGCTCAGGAAATAACCAAGCAAAGTGTCGAAAGAGTGGCACAGCTTCTTTTTGTTTCAGATTTATTTGAACAGCAGAGTTACGCAGAAAGAGGAAGAAACACTGATCTCCACGCTCCAGCTCACTGCTCAACGTCGCCACAGCCAGGGTAGGCGCCTGGAACACCAGTCTTCCAGGCAGTGGCAGGGGGCCAAGCTTTTGGGCCACTCTCCACTGCTTTTCCTGAGAGCTAGACTGGAAGTGGAATAACCAGGACTCAAACCAGGTACTCACATGAAACACTGGTGTTACAGGCAGCAGCGTAACCCACTGCGTCACAACGAGCCAGCCTCAACACAGCTCCTTTGGAATGCTTGCAGTGTAATACGAGAAGAGAGCAATGATTGAAATATGGAATCTGTACGTCTATTTAAATAGAATGTAAGCTATTTGGAGAATTCTCAGTCTGGCCAGGCTGTAAAGAATGAAAAGGTCTGCTCTGGCCAGAGCACTGAGAGGGTGGCTGGTGGGAGGGAATACAGCCTGGTCCCCTGACCAGGGAACTCCACCCTGCCAGCTGCTAAAATGCAGCTCGCATGAACTTCTGTAGGGCATCCAGGGTGCCAACTGCGCTAGCCAAAACCCTGTGGCCACCCTGTGATGAGCTCTGGGGAGTGAAGGGTGTAGGTCTATAAGGGGTCTGGTGGTTGGCACAGGTGCAGTGTGCAGGAACACGAGAGTCCATGCCAGGTGATGACTGACTTCCAAGGGACTTCCATGGACACCGCCACTGTTCTAGCAGGTAAGCGAGGGTGCTGAGACCAAGCTGTTTGGAGCAGGAAACAGGAGGGCCTTTAAAGGATCAGACCAGAGTCCAAGTTCACCTAGGAGTCCTGAGCTGGAGTAGTTAGCACTGACCATCACTGAATAGCACGCACAGGCACACACTGAGGCTGGGATGGGGGCCTTCCCGGCAGGGCGAGATCGAGGTGTCC